TCGGCAGGATAATTTTAAAGGAAATCAATAACGGACAAGGCTGAAAAATATAATATATTTATTTTAAAACAAGGTTTAATGAGTGTAAACAATTATAATAATACTGCACTGTTGTGTAGAAATAAATATTCTGTTGGATTATTCAAAAGATGTGTTCTTGTGATTTCCTTTAAAATTATCCTGCCGATAGACTAATCCACTGAACTATTGAATTGGCAGTTCGAGCCAAAAGCTAACCCCTTTAAATCCGAACATTTGATTCAAAAGATGCGATATAAATAAAACCATCCCCTCAATACCATGGACCAGCAAGACTCTGACTCCGACGACGTTACTGACAGCCCCTCCATTGAGGACACCTTTGTCAAGGTTCTATCCGAACTGAGTGGCATGGATAGTACAATGACAGATGATGTCAGGGGGCTGAGAAAGAAGCGACTCGGATCCACATCCCCTTCCAACCCCTGTCCAAAGAGGACGCCAGCCAGGGGTGGCACCATCCGCAAGAAGGGCAGGGGAGGCAAGCACAAGGACAGCGCCACCTCCAGGGCCAGAAAGCTAACCCCTTTAAATCCGAACAAACTCAAAATTATGTCATATTATTGTCGATTATAGGAAATTCCTAATTTTTGTAAAATATAATCATCAATAGTTTTCTAAAAGAAGTATTGATTTTAGGAAACAGTTAGGCTGTATATATTTATCTTAATTAATACATAGATACATATCATTATTATAAAATCATTTTTCAATTTTATTTTTAAATTATTTCTAATTGAATTATTTTATCCTAATTTTAAATTATTCAAATATTTAATAATTATAAGACAATCAAATATTATATCTTACTTACATATATACAATATAAGAATCTTACTTACATACTTCTACTGCAGAACTTCTTTATCTATTTACATATTTTAAAAAACACTAGTAAATCATAATATACAAAGTATTTTAGAATTATTAAAGGCACTTATAAAATTGGACACAGAATCATTGTAAATAAAATAAAAATAAAAATAAATACAAAGACTGAATTAATATGAATTATTTTATATTATTTTTATAAAATCTATTCCGATTTATATATATATATATATATATATATATATATAAACTATAATGATATATTTTCAATTTAATGTTCATTTATACAAGTTATATTACTTATTTTTTTACTTAATTTAAAAGAAAAAAATAATATTAAATATAAAAAAATGAAAATTACATTAACATAGTTTGTATATTTGATTTTAGGAAGACAAAATACTGTATAATGTGATATTAAACTATGCGAGCGACATTATTTAATTCATTTTTAATAGAAATTTATAAACTAAAATATTACATTATAATATTATATATATATTTAAGGAAATAAATATGTAAATATTATAGCTTTATTATAATATTTTAAACTATTTTTTGTAATGGCAATTTATTTTTGTATATATTAGTATCTGTTTCAAAAATATAGTTACTTTTAAAATTTATAGTCTAAATTGTATCTATTCAACAAAAATGGCTTTGTCAGTATATGAAATAATTTGTTGGTTTAGATGTACATTTATTATTTTTAACAAGACATTATTGTATTTAATTAATGCTAATTAAAAAAATAATGTCACCGAAGATATCGAATATTTTGAAAAAAACAATTTTTAAATTTCGACTCATAAGTTTTATATATTTTATATGTAATGTATTTAAAAATTTATTAAAAACTATTCCAATATATATATATATATATATATATATATATATTATTTTATACTTACCTGATTGTTAAGTATAGTTTTAAACTAAATTCATTTAAAGTATATTTTATTCAATATTTTATGGTTTTATTATCATTTTTAAAGAAATATTAAGTAAGTTAGTTATTTCAAGCATGGTGGTTAATTATATAAAGGAATAATATCTCGTTTTTTCTTTGTTTCTGATTGTTATTATGATATAAATTATTTTCAATACCATTTTTAAACAATATTTAAAACATTATTAATAGTTTTACATTAAAATTAAATTTTTAAAACAAATGAAATTTATAAAATTAAAGTTCGTTTAAGTATTTAGTATATTTGGAATATATTTATTTATTTACATAATTCATTTTAAAAGAAAATGTTTATTAGCCGATAGTTAACCGTATATGTTATACGTATCTTATAAGAAACTCCATGGACAATATTTTTATAAATACAAAAATTATATTTTAATGTTAGATCAGTAGAATATAAGTGAAATATAATAAGCGAACTTGCAAATATATCTCGTGACGTATTTGCCTTAATTATATAAAATAATATTACTAAAGTATCGTTTTTAATTCAAAAAGGCGTTTAAAATATCAAGTATTGTAATACTTTCGTTTATATATAAGAGTAACAACATTAATAAAATTAATTATTATATATTACACAAGTATAAATATAGTAACGTTTTTGTTGATTTTATAAAATCATGACATTTTCTTAGCCTACGATATATATATATGTTTACGAAGATATTTTAGCATTCAAATTTAATACTATCAATGGACAACACTGAAATTAAATGATTAATGTATTTATGATATTAAAAAAGATTACTTTATTTATACGGTATTTTATAATATAAGGAATTAAGTCAAATATAAATACTTTTATTTGAAATAAGCACAGATGTAAAATTAACTTGCATAAGGTATTTCGTTTCTCTTGCATTTACATATATTTTTTTATATAATTATGGGAAAAATAGGTATAATGTATTAAAGCATAACTAAACGCATGCCTTCTATTAGACAAATATTTTTAAAAGGGTTTGCTAGTAAAAACATCTTATCATTAAAATATTAATACTAATAAATAAATTATCTTTAAACAATAAAGCTTGTCGAGTTATAATTACTTATAGATTAAACTCTTGTATTTAAATACGATTTTTAACAGGTTGTAGATTAATTAACGATTTTATTTATTTTTTTTACAAATCATATTTTGAATAACGTCTTAATAAAAATTTATATATTATAATGAACAATGAGAAAAATGCGTCTTTGTTTTTAAGGATCGGAAATGAAAACCAAAAACAAGTCATTTTAATGTGCTGCATTAATGGCTAAATATAGACAGCCAATTAATTTATATTCTTTTAACCAAGTACAAATTCGCATTATTATTCACAGTATATGATCAGTCGCTGTGCGACCTTGTATCTACATAGTTGGAGTTCATTGTAAGTTGCAACCATTTTTGTAATTTTACAGAATAAATACTGCTTTGTCTTAGATGTTTTGGTCTCGTTATTTTTCCTTCGTTTTTCCCGAAACACGAATAATGCAATCAAAACTCTTTCATAAACTCCAAAACATTGCCACATGTAAATTATAACTACATAATGTTTTAAGAGCAATACAAAAAAAAGGATATACATAAATGAATGTTATACTAATATAATTAATAGTATAATTATGGAAAGAGATGTAAAATGTAAAAATGTAAAGTTATCAAAATAGATGAAATTTGCACGTAAATATTGTGTTAATTTTTAATTATGTTTTTAAAATATACGTATTATATATATATTATCTGGAGATATACAAATTATTATTCCTTTTATATTACATCTTTAACAAAAAAATAATTATTCAGTATAGATAATTAAATATCTGAGCATAAGTTATTTAATGGTAATATTTAATTATCGGTAAGCATAAAAGAACTTTGCACAATAATTTACTGTTTAAGTGAACTCTTCTAGTTACTATCAATTAAAAATAAAACTATAAGTATATTCAATTATCAAATTAGTAATAAAAATATATGTTCATATGAGTATAATGAAAAGTAAAATATTAATATATTTAATTTGTTTGTATCTAAAAAGTAAATATTTTTATAATTATTAATCGAATTCGTAGCGCTATAGTGTATTTAAGCGCGATGCTTTTGATGGTTCGAATGACTGTATTTTCTTTGTTTAGTTAAAATGTTATGACACATATCATATATTATATCTGGAAAATGTCAAAATAATTACTCAGAACTTACTTCCAACTCTCCATCAATAATTTGAAAAAAATTTATATAGATCGTTACATTCTATTTAATTGAGCTCGAAGAAATAATATGAATAAAAATGAAGGAAAAGTTTTAATAAAGGCAAATGAATAATTAAAATTCGAAGTTCACCTTCATATTTTATTCAATTTTGATAATGTAATCCTGTAATAACTTTTAGAGAGTTAATTAAATCTGATAAATACGAATATCATAAAATTCAAAATTCATTTAACATTAATTTCAAGATTGAACATTCAAACAATTCTTTTAGGAATTATTCATCTTATTTTATTACATAATTATAAAAATATCAAAAGTCTAAATAAAATATTTAATTGATCAGTTGTACTTTCGATAATTAACTTTTAAAGAATAGAAATATTAAACAATTGGTTGAAAAATGAAGTAGACATCAAATAAGTAATCCATAAATACATCATTTATCGCAGTTTGATTAGTAACAATATCTCTGTAAAATATTTATTCTTGAATATTTGAATACTATAAATTTTATGTACACCTAATAAGTGGAGAATTAAGTAATCAAAACATCTAATTAAATACATATCTACACCAACGAGTTATTCACAATGAGATAAAAAAATAAATAAATGAAACACAATTTAATTATATAAACTATCCAACTATGGTCTTTGAATATTATAAGTCATTAATTATTGAGATATTTTTTTGATTTTATTCTCTTAACTGCTAATGCTTCTATACCATCTTGATCTAAAAATAAAAGTTCTAATGTTATTTAACAATTAATATTGCAAAAACATAAAAGTAATTAATTATTAATTTAAGTACCATGTATTTGTTTATCTAATACATCCATATGAATTTTACGAAAAATAGTTTTAAACTTGGCAGCGTTTGGAATATACGAACTTACATAATATTTCATCACGATTGGTTTTAAAATGTTAAAAGTTTTTCTGTGAATTCTTATCGATGCTGGCGTCTTGTTCGAAGCAACTTCGTTATTGAATTTTTGGCGCTTTATATCATGTGTAATTTTATTCAAATTTTCAAATTCTTTTAAATCTGAATGTAACCGTTTCTTATCATCTTTAACTATTTTATCTTGCATATAACACATATTTTCTGAATTTTGTTTTTCTACTGAAAGTATCTTTTCTTTATCGTTATTAGCTTTGTAAATAGTATTTATTACAGTAGTATCGTTATCACGTATATTGATTGCATGCTGTTCTATACCGAACTCTGGCGAGATGTCATCACCAAATAGTAATACATTTTTGGCAGCCAATTTATTTTTTAAAGAACTTTTCGATTTTTGCGAACTTACATAAGAGCATTTCTTAGCTTCCATATATTTAATATCTTTTTTTTTTATATTATCTATATTTTTTGACTTATTATTAAAGGAATTTTTTACAATTATTTCTTTAGTTTTATTTTTACCCAATTTGTTTCCTAACACAATATCATTAATCTTATTGCTTAAACGATTACTTTCACCGTTACAAGATTTCTCTCCTGTATTTTCTCCATAATTATCTTGATTTTGATTTATTTCTTTTTCTGTAATATTTTCTATTCTATTTGTGCTACCTTTGAAAAATGCTTTTACAGAAGGATAATCACTTTGTTTTTGAGACTTATTATTTAATTTATTATCTTTTTTCATTTTTGAAAATTCTAGAGCTGTTGTAAACCCTACAGAAGAACTAGAATCCAATTTTCCAATTATACATTTAATAGAAGTAGATCCAATTTTATTCAATTTCATTGTAAAATCTTTTGGTTCTATAGAATTTGTTTTTAACCTTTCTAATTCCAAGGCTGTCTGAAAATTATCACATGAAGAAATGTCCCTTTTTTTATGTTTAAATTCTTCAAGCGATGTTTCGCAGTCTCCTCTTTCTTCTTCATATTTTACTGTTTTTATAAATTTATTATGTTTTTTTAAGTCTTCATATAATTCATTACTTTTAGTCTGTTTTTGAAGTTGTGAAACCTATAAAAAAAATGTTACTTTAAATGTTATATTACCGTGTTTTTCATATTAATTTATATAATTAATATAAACAATTGATCAACCTTTTGTGTTGCCAAAAACTTATAAGTTGAAATAGCTTTTGCAGTACAAACGATATTGTACTCTATTTCACGTGCAATGTCATTAATATTTTCAACTGATAAATATTTTTCGTATTCTTTAATACAAGTGTGAAAATTATTTAACAAGCCAATATTTATTTTGTTAAAAAAAAATTCTCGTAACTAAAAAAAGGACATTTAAAATAAGCATCTAATTTTACATGCAAAATAATCCTTGGCTAAGAAATTTTATTAAAGTAATCTCATTCAATTTTATTATTTTATTACAATAAAATGTTCTGAATAATAATAGAAAAATATATAATTAAATTTAATGAAGTAATTTATAAACAACTACTTAATTATTCTATTTATATAAATTTATTTTTCTTATTTTTAATAGTTTTGATTTCAAAGTTCAATTAATATTGATGTTTAATAAATATCGTTTTTGATGAGATAATTTTAATTATTGAAATCATTATAAATCTGTTGTTGTTATTATATTAACAAACAAGTTTTTAATTGTAAAAAATTCAATTATTAACATAATTCAGAATACAATTGCATTTCATATACTTTCATATTTACATTAGTTTAAGAAAAATATACATTTAAAAATAATTTGCAGAAATTTTGAATGGCTCCTAATAAGATATATTAGCCAGGGATCTTCTTTGAATAAATACTCTACATTGACAGTGAGTCCTTTAATTTTAATGTGTGTACTTTCTGCTGCAAGAACACAAGATGTTTTTGCACTCTCTAAATTAATCTTTTGAATCTGAAAACAATTGATTTAGAAAAACATTTAGAAATACTTTTGCTTATATAAAATTACTTATTTTTTTATAAGACTATTTATATATTACCTCGTCGTGATTTTTTCCACCCCTTCGTAATTGAAATTGTTCATTTATTAATTGTTTTTCTTGTTGTCTTGCCAATTTTTCCAACTTTGATTGAGTATTATCTTCAGATTCTCTAGGCTCAGTATTATATTCACTACATAAACCAAAAATATTGAATTAAAAAAAAACTTTTTCTTTAATTAATTTAATTTTTGTTTAAAAAATATTATGTTAAAATTTACAAATTATCATATTTTTCAAGTCCAAAACTTTCTAGATACTCTTTATGTTTCGGTTTATACTGATTAGATGATTCAAATTGTAATAATTTTTCCTTGACTGCATCTTTATTTTTACAAACATCACATCGATTTACACATTTAGGCACTGGATCTCCAAAATATTTTGAAAATACACCATGCCTACATCTTTAAAACAGAAATTTAATATGAAGAAAATATAAATAAAAAAAAAAATGTATATGCAGCTATCTCAAAAATGAATGATTTTGTGGTATTGTGGTATAATTCTTCAAAGGATTGAATATATTTTAATGGTTTTCAAAAATTCTTTAATAAATAATATTGGTTTTATAAAAGCAACCTAAATTTTGTATGAATTATATAAAAAATTATATAGAAAATTTATAAAAAAGCTTTGCATACTTTAGTCCGGTAAAGCAGTCTACTAATTGATTAAATGACTTAAGTTTATTTTGTTGATAATCGTGTTTATTTTGAAAATGTGAAATGCTTGATTCTCCTTCTGCATAGTTCTGACAAAGAAACGTAATTGTACTGAATTCTTCACGACTAAAATATATTCTACAAAATGATTGTTTTCCGTCACGACCAGCTCTACCTGATTCCTGGTAATAACTTGCAATTGTCTGAGGTACAGTCCAATGTACAACAAACCTATAAAATATAATACAAAATATTTAATTATTATAAAATTTTTTCCATAATTATGTGTATATGTGTGCGTGGGCGTGCGCGCGTGTGGCTGTGTAAATATATAAAGCATACGTTATAATTCTGTAAATTTTTTCTTATTCTTTTTTATTACTAGGAGTTATCTAACAGCAAATTTATCTATCAGAATATATTTAATAATGATTTATTACATAATAATAAAATTGAAAATGTCTATTATTCGTTTATATAAATATTACCTTACAGATGCTTTGTCTACACCCATTCCAAAACTACAAGTTGCAGCAATGACCGAAATGATCCCAGAAGTCCATGAATCTTGAACTTCGATTCTTTGTTTATTTTTTAAACCTAAATATAATTTATTTATTAAGCAGAATATTGCGATATTAAAATTTATTGATAAGCAATGAGTGTTATAACCAATTTATTTTTTACCAGCATGATAAGACATTGTAGGGATCCCTAAGGTCGTTAATTTGTGTGCTAATGTTTCAGTAGTCTCTTTTTTTCTACAATAAATAATACCACAATTTTTTTTTTCCTAGAAAAATATTATTATAAATAAAAATTGTAACCATTTAATTGAATTAATTGAGATAATATAACTAACTTTTGGAATAGAATCATCGGTTGGTCCAAGTGATATTTTAATAAATTGTTTTAAATGTTCAAATGGGTCTGGTATAGTATCGATAAACCATACATCATAAAATAAATTAGATCGAAAAACTGGTATACTATATATCACTGGGTTATTCATTTTCAATGTTTTGAAAATATCTTCTTTAACCTGCATTTTTATTATGTTAAATAAATTACTGAATATGAAAATACTACTAATTAATACATGAATAAAAATAATTAATATGTGCAAATTTTTTAAATGAATTGGTGTATTTAAATTTGATGTATGTATTAATTAGTAACATTTAAATATACTTATATTAAAAATAATTATTTTATTAATCTCATTATTAATAAATAAACCTCTTTAGCAGCAGTAGCAGTTAAAGCTATAATCGGTACTTCTGGTTTTTGCTCTCTTAATGTAGAAAGTTTCCTATAACTAGGTCTAAAGTCATGACCCCATTGACTAAGACAATGAGCCTCATCAATAACAAAATAAGATAAAACTTTTAATTTCACTTGAGTCAATAAATGCTATAAATAGAATTGAAATAATTAATATAATACATGAAGGACTGAAATAATAAATTAAATAAAATTTTATTTACTGTTTAACTGGTCTATATTAATATTACCTGAAAAGATTGTGTATCACACAGTTCAGGAGTTACGTAAAGTAATTTCATCTTTGGATTATTTGATAACATATCATTTATTATAGCTGTTTTCATGGTTTTTGTAGTTTTGCTGTTTAAAGCATATGCTATAATATTTTTACTATTTAAATAATCAACTTGATTCTAAAAAAAATATAAAACATTTAGAAACAGAAATACATGAAACATAAAAATGATATAATAATAATAATAACCTTGACAAGTGCTATAAGAGGTGAAATAACAATGGCATATGAATTTTCTTTGGCAACTGCTGGTAATTGAAAACATAAAGATTTTCCAGATCCAGTTGGCATACAAATGTATACATCTTTGTTTCCTATAATGAAAATTCATAAATTATATGTTTACTATAAAATAATAATAATATAATTTATTGTATTTCTGACTACCTAATAATTATCAATTAAAATATTTTATTATACATAAAAAAAAGGTTTGGAGATTTTCAAATATCATTTTAAATAGTCTACAAGTCTTGCAAGTTTGTAAATTGATAAAAAAAAATCTTAAATGATTATATTAATCAGGGATTAAATTAATTCGATACAGTAATGAAAATATCTACTGTACCGAAATGTGTATTTTAAAATAAATGCAAATTTTAATGTTAGAAATAGTTAAGAATAATTGTAAAAAATATAATAAAAAACTAAAAAATTCTTGGACCTTTGTAGACTGCTTCAACAGCTTTTTGTTGCAAATCATTTTTATAATCGTCATGGCCAAAATAATTTTTCAACTTAGTTTTTAATCTAATTTCAGAGAAAATTTCAGCACTCATTGAAAAATAATTAAAAATAATAATTATTAAAGCATTAGTTAAAATGAATCGAAAACTGGTTATATATGTACAAAAATATTGTTTATAATGAAGAAAACAATATAAGGCAATACGTTAAAATGAAAAAACATTATTATGCTTTTAAACATAATTTAAGGTTAATAGTTAGATGATGTGATTTCAACGTTTTCAGGTACTGCGATCATATCGATACACTGATTCTGCGCAGTAAAGAACCATTAGCTGAATGTTCATCGGTTTTAAATTTTTGTCGAAAAAAGTGGAATTACATAAACAACATAATAATTAAGCCTATGAATAACATCTGCCGAATTATAGAAATTAAGGAATTTAAATAATTACTTTTAAATATAAATTGTAAGACGAATTATAAGAAATTTGTATATTATATCTCATTTTTTAATGACAAAATTTTTTTTAATTTATATCATTTGTAACTTATCTATTTTTTTCATAAAGAAATATATACAAAATTTTTAATATTACCAAAAAAAGTTAAATGTAAATCGCTAATCTAAATTCAGATCTAAAAAGCTTGAGAGTGGCTTAAAGAACTTCTTTGGCTTTATACGTTAAAATCATTGTCGTAATGCGAGGTACATCTAATTATAAAATTTTTGTTATTACAAATTATAAATGTTTAGTGCAGCGAATTTGAATACTCCAATCACTAAATTACTAGATATTTGAAATCCAGTTATCAGCAGAAAGGGAGAAGATGTATACTCAGTTGCTTTCGTACTCTTTTCTCTTCCTCTTTCCTGATTTACTACATTCTTAAAATAAATAGTCTATTTTACTCAACAATAGGACAAAATATAATTAGTTACTTAGAATACTATACAAATTTTGTGAAACTAATTTGAAAATGCAACAGCAATTTTTAATTGAGAATTACTAAATTTAATATGAATTATAATAAAAAAATATGTAATCGTCTTACTAAAATAAATATCCTTTTATTATTACATTTTCCACCATTTTTCAAATTTTTAATATTTTAATTGTAAAGTAATTTTTTGGATTTATAATAATAAAAATACATACTCATGCGTCTGCATTCTGCGCTTTATAATAAAATGATCTGATCAGTATTTAAGGTAAAAATTAGTTTTGTTTTACCACTTGTTTTAAGATTTTAATGAAAGGAAATTAAATCTTACTTAGCATTCACTCTATATAGAACAATTTGTAAACATTATTTTACTTGTAATTATGTGAATTATAAAATAAAATAACGGAATGTGAAGAAAATAAAAACAAACTGTAAAATTGTAATATAACATTCTTTATTAAGACTTCTGTTATTTTTGAAATGTAAATTCTGTTTTTTATGATATTATTAATTATGCAGAGCAAAAGTTAAAGTTAATTATTTTAATTACTGTAATGCGTAGTGAATGCCTATCTATAACTAAAAAATAATTTTAAGCGTGTTCGTTAAAATTAAAAACGAGAAAATTATATCGCATAATTTTAACGATTTACATTTATACAAATAGAGCATTTATAAAATGGGACACTATACTCAGTGTTTAAATTAATTGAAGATATATAAATTTATACACAGAAAAAAGCTTCTAAAACGATACTTCTATTCTGCTAATACGCGAACGCTCAGTGTTCGTTGTTAACCAAGCGCAGTTTCCTTAATTTAAAAAAGATAGGAGTTTAGAAACTTCTATTAATATGACACTTTTTTTATTTGTATTATTATTGTTTTTAATTTAAAAATAATAATGAAATATTTTTATTAATAAAAACAAGTTGGAATTGCTTTATACAATTAAAGAAAAAAAAAAGAAAAATACAAGCGCTCAGAATATCAGCAACTGAGATCTCGACCCTTCTAAAGGGCGAATACGTACAAAGTATTTTAGTTACATTATCAGTTTTACTTTTTCTTTTTACTTTTTTCCTCCTCTCAAGAATTCCAAGATTTTTTGTACTTTTTACAGTTTGTTACAGCCGTTTTCATATAACAATTATTTTATAAATCGCAAATGACCAATTAAGTCTTAATGTTGCTTTCATTTGGAAATTAACTTATTCGTCATATTCTTGCTTTCGAAATTCACTAGTTCGATTAGTAGTAATGCAGTCTTTTTCTTTAATTAACGATTTTATCCTTAATATCTTTTTATAATTATAAGCAATCAAATTGATTCAAAACATTTATCAAATACACTTTTCTCAAATTTCTTTGTTCTCATTAGAATCTTGTATCCATATTAGATTTCCTTAAAATGTCAGTGTACATATAAAGATCAATCAGAATAGATTTTAAAGTGATGATTACTTTATAATAATAAATAGTCACGCAATATTCAAAAAAGTGCAAGTTAGAAAATTTCTTGACATAACAGCTGCGTTTCTTAAGAATTCTAAACTTATGAAAGATGACAATAATCCAAATCACAAAGTTATCTATATAACATCCAAATCCTCTCTCTCTCTCTTTCTCTCAGGATGTGTGTGTATGTGTTTAATTTAAAATAAGAAACGTCTCAGTTCTATTTAGTCTTTTATAAAAATGAATGCAAGACAATACAAAAAAAAAACACAAAACAAAATTTAATAATAGTTTCAAATATTACATACCTCGAAAGGCATGTATTGTATGTCAAAATAATAAAAATAATTACTTCAACCAATAAAACAAGTTTTGATGAAACCGTGTTAAACTAAAAAATATTTTCTACAATATATAAAAAGTGTTTCCGATCATTATAAATATTCGATTTAAATCAGCTGTTATATACAAGATAAATGTTTTGTGCTTATCATTTTTTCTTTTCCTTCTTTTTTTACTACAGATTACTAGCTTCTATTTCACATCTTTCACAAGATATTTACATAAATATATTTTGATAATATATTTAAGTATACATTTTAATTACATACGTATGTTTTTATACTTGCTCACTTTTTACTTTAGAATTTAAAGCGCTTTATAATGTGAAACAAGTATTGAAGAAAAAAGTACAGTATTCAGTTCTAGAAAATAAAATATGTTGTTTTACAGTGATGTTGCGACTAGCACAAACTGGCTTCATTCAAAAACTGATCTACAATTTTACATTTACTCATTTTTATTTCGAAAACGTCCTTTCTTTGCCTTATTTTTGTGTGAGGCGAACGTTTGAATTAAATAAATTATAAAATGATAAATATATGAAAATAATATATCAATTTTTATAAAATTTCTTTTCAAAACAAAAGAAAATAAATGTAATTAAATTACTAAGTTTTTCAACTACCTTATTTTTTGCCTGCATTTTTATTAATTCACACGTTTAAGGACACGCCATATTAATAACATATCATTACATATATTTTATAATTTTTGCACTCTAATGGATGCAGGAGAATATAAAAAGTTCATGTTTAGCTTAAATTTTTCAAGAATTCATTTAAAATTTTATGAAATTTAAATATGAACTTCATTTTTCTTATTCACTCATTATTTAATTCATCCATACAGACAGTTTTTATTAAAGATGACTTTACACGCAATTATTTCAGAAGTTAAAATATAAGCTTTACAAACTTAAAATTGATAAATTTTTATTTTAATATATTCGTTTTAAACAGATTTATCATAAATTTGTTTATCATAATTTTTTTTCATTTATATGTATTATTTTATCATAAATAATAATTGAAAACAAAAATAGAAATTTCCTTAAAGAAACTATGATATTTGTATATAACAAGTACTTCCGAAATATTAAGAATTACACATTGTATTATAATTAGCATATAACAGTATAATTCTTTTTTGTATCATTATAAATCTGTCTCGTATTTAATTTTTAAATTTGATTTGTAACTACTATGCATAATTATATTATTTTTCTTGTTTTTTGTCATATTAATATATATATTTTTTGCTTTCTGTTTATTTGTACATACATATGTATATACACATATATATGTATACATACATATAGCTAGATAGAATATACCTACATACTTTAACAGTGGATGCCGACTACTTTACTAAACCACTGGAAATTTCTTATCACATTCACTTTTCATATGATTTCCTACTATATTTTTTAAATTTTCTATGGCAATCCAATTGTAGTTGTTACATTCACAGCTCCCATGTAATTGCTGTTTTTACAGCAATAGTAATATATCGAACAAGATTGTATTCAATCATATAATTCGGTATTCTTGAAAACAGCAGATTTCTTTATTTGCAGTTAACAAGATCCAGTAATTAATTTCAACTATGGATTAACTACACTCTAAAATATCAATAAATAGTATAATGAAATAACAATTTTAAAGATAATTATAAACTATATTTATAATTATAAAATTTTTTTATAAAAATATTAATTATATTGGCAATTCAGCATTTGAAATTGATACCTTTTTTAAGAAATGATTTTCTTTTCGATTAACGCCTTTTATGTCCATGACGACGCGCAAATTTACGGCTTTTTCTGAAACATAAATTTGTTACATTATTTCTTTATAAATATGAAACGACGAAAATACTAAAGAGATTTTATATTACATACATAATTCTTTTAGGTGATGGTGTTGGAGTGTGTTCAGCAATAACAGGTAATACCGACGTAAATTTATCAGTTGGTCTTAATAAGCGAGCCGTTCTAGATGATAATTTCCAAATAAGCCTTTGTCTATGCGGAGTTTGCTCTTGTGCATTGTACTTGCTTAGTATTGCACCTACAGATTTATGTGTTGCAAAAAAGCTGGTATCTGAGATCTAAAATTATAATTATTAATATAATATAAAGTTTGTTAAATATATTATAAAAATATTATTTATATTAATTTTTTTATATTAATTACACATATACTTATATTATAAAAAATTCTAAAAATACAAGTATTATTAAAATATTGATAAAATACCTTGCACATTTTTTGTAATTCTGCTGCAAATTCTACTAGTCTAAGCATTAGATGTGTATTAGATGAGGAATCGTCTAAGGTTGATGAACCAGATATATTAGGCATTGTTTTGTTACTATTTGAATCTAAACAGTTCACAGCATCATCTAGATAAGTACAAAGTAGAACAAGAGCTACTTCTGATGGCCTTAAGCTAGCACAATTACCATCACAAGCTACCATTTCTAGGCGTAAAAGCAATTCTGATTCCTATGAATATGAAGTACAAATAAGTTACAGTGACATGAAAATTCTAAATAAGTAAAGTTAAAAATGTACTTATATAATATAGTAAATATATTCAAATTTCATTATGGTATTTTTTTTACTTTTCATTACTATTTTAATTTACTAAATAATAAATTGAAGGCTTATGAAATTTAATAAATATAATTTATTTTTTCATTTTAATTTTAATACAAGAATTTATAAATGTTTAAAACAACTAAAATCACATACCAAAACCATGCTTGCATATAAATCTCCAAGACCTAGTTGGGATGCAGCAGCTTGAAACATAATATTAAAGAAACGGAGAAAAGTGAGTGAGGTGATTGGTTGTGTGCCTGGTACCCATTCCAGTTTATTACGAATCTTTTCAGACATACGTTTCAAATCTCCACTGGTGCACTTGCATTGCGATATGGACACTAAATGATCGGCATCAAGAGAGTGTTGAGCCATTTGAACAGCAGCTATATAAAATGAGGAAACACTAATGCATGCCATGTGTTTTGGTTTAGCCTTCATTTTGCTTAAGAAACAGTCCATTAGGTTAATAGCGATGAAGAACACATGTGATGGAAGATCATACCAAACTTTAAGACATCTAAGTACATGTGCAGAACCATCTCTTGACCCAATTGTGATCTCATCATTCTGTAAAATAAAATAAATGAATAAAATAAATTATTTTTATATAATATATTAAGAAATTTAAAATAATTAAAAAGTAATAAGATATGAACTATTCAAGCAAGAATTTTTTAAATATAAATTAATCAAAAGTATTTGTACTGATACAGTTAAAAATAATGTTTTAGCAAATTATGAACTGTTTAAAATTGTTCATCAAAATGTCAATAGAACAAAATACTTGTGTTAATTCTAAAACATATAGAAATTTCTAGAAATTCTCTATTTTTTACACTAACTTCATTGTAGCATTGATGTGATATTGTTAGTGTAGTAATTCTATAAACATTTTTATTATACTAAATATTTCACTCATTTTATTATTTACAAATGTAGAATGTATTGACATATATGGATAATATAAAGTGTAATATTTTTAGAAGATACCAGAGTTGTTGTAGGTAATCGTAGATCTGGCTGATACTTAGTCTCAAGCACAAGAGCTTCTTGAAGTTGTTCAAAAAGCGGTTGGATTGCATCCGGTACAGGCGAGCCCGATGTATCCATTCCTGCAATGTGACTGGTAATTTTTACGATGATCGATGGGTTGCGGTGTAGCTTATCCTTGCCACACGGTATTGCAGTCCAACGATAATCGTCACACTACAAGAATGATCCAGCTGGCTAGCCTGATATCTAAAATCAATAATATAACAAATATGCTTATTATAATAATTACTTATAGATAATTCCATTATTTTATTATATTGCTAATAAATATTTTTAATTACTTAAAATTTAATGACTTTCACATTAATTTAATTTTTATTTATTGTTATTAAACTTTATTTGTTCTAGCCCTTCATTGCTAAATTTAAAAATTATTTAATATATATTATTTATATATATATTTATTTAATGTATTATTATATTTTTAAATTTTAAACATGTATTATTTGTATATTTACACTTGTGTTGAATATTATTTATAAACAAATGATTAAGTTAATTATATTATATATAAATTATATATTTTACTCCATATTTACAATTAAAATTCATACATTAGTCAGACACTTAAGAAATTATTTATTAATATAACCGTAATAAATAAATCAGTATCGATATAACATAAAACAGTAATTAAGATTTTACAAATTTCAATCAATTTTAAGATAAAATTTTATATTATTGGATAAATAAGATAAATTCCGAATATTGTTAGCCAATGTGAAACAAAAAACGAAAAAAATTATAATAATTAAATGGTATTCATTTACAATCATCGAATAAATTAATCCAAATTAACTAATATATTTTAAAATTTATTTTCCTTTATTTTAAAAATTATCTTATTTAAATTATATAATTAATAATATACCATGTATATAACTACAAAAACAGTAATCAATTATATTCTATCTATGGTATACACTTCTGCTGACTAATTTAAAATTGATAATCAAACATCTTTTTTTTATTGGATAATAATCGAAGATAATATTTTATTATATAAAAATATTAATAATGAATCCATAATAAAATTTACAATTTTTTTTATTACAAATTTCATAAATAATAATCAATTTCTTTATTTACAAAAGGAAATACGGAACTAAAAGAGTGATTGAAAATACTAAATACGATTTATAAAAGAAAAATTAAATATTTAATTTTGCATTTCTTAATTTATTTTAAATCAATAGAAACATAAATATATGATTTCAATAAACTAACCCCCTATATCAGTACAAATATATAACATACAATTGAAATAAGAACATATTTTTGTATTTTTAAACGGATATATTATAGTTATTATTATTATATTTTGGTATTAGAAGCATTTCAAACCTGTTACCTCCAGTTTAATTAATTTTGATACTTTATACTATAATTGAATAAATATATAATTATGTTTATAATTATATTTAGTTAATTTAAAAATGTTAAACGTAGTTAAAACTATAGAGTTCTACTATAAAAAATATATAAAACATTTTAATTAAATAAATGATGTTAGTGTCATTTATTTAAAATTCTTTATTTAAAATTTAATGATTTAATAAATATATTTTTTAAATAATATTTTTTATTACAGAAACTATATGTTCAGTATTAATAATTATTTATAATTTCGAATTTATAATAATAAATAATTAAAATTTTTAATAAAATAATAATTCATAATAAATAAGCTTTTACATAACCGTTATTCTCATTTTAATGACTAAAATTAACTTACTTTATACTATATTGTACATTTGATATTAATTATCAATTTGTCGATATCTTGAGATAATTATTTGTTAATAACAAAAATACCAGGCAGAATTAAGGAATACAATAAATGCCATCACTACTTTTATCTTTATACAGACGACATACATTAAAAGCGTTAAGGAAAAAACTATTGCATTATATAACATACATATTTATAATTCATCTGTATTCAGATAATTAAAAGAAATATTGATGGAAGATATGTTCATATTTCAGGATGTTTCTAAAATATTTATAATAACAGACTTTCAGTTGTTAAGTTTTATTCCATATTGTAAGTATATTACATATTTTATTTATAAAGAAATTATTATTTTCAATCAAAATTCATGTTGCACAGAGAGTGTATTGTAATTTCTCTTATGGATATTTATGTTCACTGAGAGTATAATTGAGTCTTGTTTTTTGAATAATTGTTCTTAAATAATATATTTTCATTTAATACAATAGAATTTATAAAATAATTAAATGATGAAATGAAATAAAAAATAGTTAATTCGATTATCTATACGTCAAAATATTATTTATGGTCTTCATATATTCATTAGTTCATTCATTCAATATCAACTTTATTACACTAATGTTCATATAAAAGTTTTTAAATCTGTTCTAAAATTACTAATTACATAGTATAAGAATACCTATCATATATTATTCTTTTCAATTATTCAAGAAAAAATTTCCAAATTTCAAGATAATAGTAGAAATTCAAGTTTAAACGCTTTATTCACATTAAATAATAAACCTATTGTTCTAGAAAGTTCCAAAATGGATAAAATGAAAAGAAAAAGATACTTTTTACTGTACTTCCAATTACTGTTTAAGAATAAATAATTCTAATTAAATTGTAAACTATAAAAAATTGAATTGAAATAAGAATTATATCTTATTTAATATTGAAATGTCATATTCCCCACATTATCTCTTTATTAAATACAAAAATATGAAATACACATTATAACAAAAATAATATAATGCAAATTAAAAAATATGTATATATATAAAATAAAAATTTATTTTATATATTTTATATATGCATCATTAAATATTTAATACTTTTAATAACAAATCTAATCATTAAATATTGAATTAAAGTATACTAATTAATAGCTAAGTGTTATAATTAAAATTAAGCAAATTAACACGCAATTAGTCGAACCAAATATAATATTCTAATAAAATTATTGAAAAGATAATAATTTAATCCGAAGCTTCTCTTCAAACATGTATGTATTGTTAAACTAATTGGAACAGACTTAACAAACATGGTTTCTTACGCGTACTTATATTTTAATGTCCCTGCTTATTTAATCAATATGAAAAAAAAAACAATTATGCGATGACTAGTGTTTTTTAATATCTTTTTATTAAAAAACAGGTGCTCAAGAAAACGTGCACGATTTTGTCAATTACTGTTACCGTAAAATTTATGAATTAATTAATTTTAAAGTTTATGAACTTTCTGTACAAAATTAAAAATGCAGTTTATAATCTTAACCAATGAAATGAATAAGGCTGAATGAATAAATGAATAAGTTCAATAAATTAGGATTGGTAGTTCAAATATTTACTATAATTTATCTTCAAATTTACAAGAAAACTAATTTATATTTGTAAATAACATATAAATGTATACAAATAAATAACTTATAAAATTATTACCTTTTCAAAGTATCTTAATCGTTGATACAACATGTCAAATTATCCACACACATATTACCATTCATAAAATATGGTAAAACTAAATAATAGACAATATATTTGAATTATATTTATAATTTTATTAAAAATGTATAAAACAATAGTATATAATTTACTCCACCACTGAGCTGAAATTTCAATAAGTTATCATTTGTATTTTGCCGATAATTTTGCTTTCAATGCGATTAAATTATGTATTATAGTATTTTACTACATCCCCATTAGGCGTAATGCATTGCAATAGTAATATGAAACACCACTATGTATGAATTAATAAAATAGAAATATAAAAATTAACGATTTTTTTATTATTTTTGTTTATATAAAAAAATTAATTGAGACAAATGATATTTTATTAACGTCATAGCCAGATGTTAATAATTTATAACTAACTATAAATCTTCACATACCTAAAATGATTTAATTTATTATTCTCTTAGTAATTTAGATAATACTTGAATTTGTATTTTTATAACTAATATAAATGTGTATGAGAATTACGAAATATTTTTCAGGGCACAATTTTCTTCAGTCATTTAGAATAAGCGGTGTGAAGAAATTATTGTCCACGAGTCATGCACTACATATTTGTTTCATAAACAATAAATTCCCAATAAATTACAGAATTACCAACAAGTACAAAACCCATACCATTTATGAGCTATTTCAATGAAATACGTTTTAATAAATTGTTACAAGCAATTTCGATTATTATTATACCGTACATATATATGTGCGTGTACGATAATAAGTATGCCACCATAAAGCATAACGCGACTTATCTTGATACTTATAATATTGGTATTTTGAAAATTAGCAGCATGAAAATTGTATTATCAAACTTAACTTCAATAAAATTGTTACCTTGATCTATTATTTAGAAAGACTATTAATTTGATACAAAAGAAGATATTAAATAAATAGACAATAATCCTAATAATTGTAATAAAATATTGAAAATAGATCTGTTTTGAATAAAATTTAAAGTAACTAACAGGAACCTGGTGTTTCTAAAAATTAAATTACGTCCTTGAGCTAGAATACTTTCCAGCATTTAATAAACTAATAACTAATAACATTCATACAAAATAAAAGTAATAAAAATGTGGATACGTTAAGTTTTCGTGAATTAGTAATTTATTAAAAAGAAAATAAATTCTGGAACTTATTTTATTGATCACTGCGAATTATTTATTACTGAATATAGTATAATGATGCAAGAAAGTTGGTTAGATTATGAAATTGTGTTTTTATCTGACGTAAGGAAGACTAAGGTGCTACATAATAAGAAATTTGTAGGTTAAGTTACATAATAATTAAATTAACAATAAATTTTTACTACATTACGCGTTAAAATACATATATATATATTATGAAATACTTCCACGAACTACCAGAATAAATTAAAAATAAAATATTTAAATATTAATAATTTATTATTAATAATATAATTGACGTGCGTGTGTGTTTTAAGTGTTCGTGCGCGAGTATGCGTTTGCATGTATATATATGTGTGTAAAATATAAATGTAAATATGCATGAGACCACTGAACACCACAGAATAAATAGAAATTTATTGATTATATATGATGAAAATTGACAGAATTATCATATTTCATCATGTATGTGCATTCCTGGTGTATACACAATTGAAATTAGAATAATTTATGCAGAAAATACATAAATAAAATGAAATGAAAAACTATACAATAGTAATAATTTAAAAAATAATTATAAATATTTAAATGCATTACAATTTGTTTGTTCATCGTGTAAAATACTGTCATTTTAAAGAGAGAGAGAGAGAGAGATCTTTAATGCCACTTTTTATTAATATTAACACTGTTTAAGTTTTTATCATCAAAATAGACATCGGCTAAACCTATGCTTTAAAAATTTTAAAATGCCAATGTAAACAAACAACTCGGCAGACTTCATGTGTGTAGAATGTAGAAGTATAAATTAATTTATAAATAGATGAAAGAGTAATACCGCTCTGTTGATGATCAATCCAAGTATGAAAGTACTTACTCTGTCACTGAAAAGTGGACGAAGATGCAAACCAGGTAGTTTCAGTGCTTGTACGGTAAGTATTGCCTCTTTCCAAGACAAAGGAAGAGTGAGTATACTTAGGTTCGTGCGCTCCAAGCCCGAGTAGCTGATGCAACGCCACTGATGCAGCGTTGAACTGTCAAAAACGCCAAGAGACATGAAACGCACTCGATAGGACGCGTCCAAGAGAAAAAGCGATATTTGCTTTTCTCTCTTCCCTTTCCATAACAAACAGCAACTTATGATTTCATAACTCCCAAGAGAATTCGTATACTTCTAATAAATAATGATTGTGAAACCGGAGCCAATAAAAAGTAACATATAATTCGCTTCACCGTTATACTTATAAATTTTGAAATTTATAACAGCACGGGCTAATAAAGCTCGGGCTGATACAAATTATCTTAAAGTTTCGAGAACAAGCATCTCCTCTCAACTAGGAGCTTCTCCGAGTGCCTCGCAGCAACGGCACTCTTTATCAGTAGTTCTTTTACAATCATCCCAAAGCAGTACACGTACATAGGCATGAACAGTCTCCTCTCGCTTCGAACGTAACAATCCTCTTCTCACAGACTCCGATTTATTTTGTTCATCTTCCTTCTTTTCCTATCCTTTATTGTATGCTCTTAATGCTCACAACGAGCGAATGGTAACACAACAACAACAGGGCACGATAAAACTTGTAACTAGTGACTACGACGAGAGGCTCCTTAGCAAACCCGCTTGTTCCGCGATCCGCTGTTCGAAACGGCCGTCGAATTGCTCATTCCTTGCATTACATATGGTATCGCGTCGTCGGCAACTACGTCGTCGCACACATAGGTGCCGTCGCACGGCTAAACCCACCGTCGTAGCGCGCACGCGCAACAACATATGCTTGAATGCGTGCGACTGTACGTGTGTGTGCACGCGCGCGTATACTTGAGGTAAGATCCTAGGCTTGATCGTTGGTTACATAAATAAAGCTCTCCACAGGCCACTGTCCAGCTCATAGTTGTGTGGGTGCTAGCGATGAAGAATGATGAGGGAGAAGGAAGAAGTCCAGCAGCCCGAACGAAGCCGAAGTTCCTCCGAACTCGCCTCGAACTCGCTCTTCAGTCCATTCCAAGTTTAGGAACGTAACCACTTTGTTTTTATTCGCTTTTTACTTCTCCCTTCGAACGCCGGCTATTTTTAGTACAGAGCCGATCGCTTTGATTAATATTTGCCATGAAGCAGACCTAACGTAGACGCATTTATATTTGTTCATTTATTCTAAACAAACGTTTAAAAAGAGATGTATCATATTAAATAACGAAATTTTACTTGTTTTAGTCATTTTATAAAAGTTGCATAAAAAGTTCCCTTTAATGAAATAAGAGAACAAATAAGTAATCGAAATAAGAATAAAAATATATGCACACGCGCGTGGGTATAATATTCCTTAATCGAAAACTCACGTTATCTAAAAGCCATATCAATATCGCAAATTCATTAATAAGTAAATAAACAATTGTAATGCAACATTAAATCGATTTATTTCGAGATATTGTATAAACTTACATTGTTATTTTAATAATTAAAACATAAATACATTAATTTACTTGCATAATGTGCAAAAATAATCAATTCTGTTTAACAGAAAACGAAAAAAAATTCCTTCTGCTGGAGATTATATTATAATAAAACAAATGATGGAGAAAAAACTTATACCCATAATTAATCCTTAAATGACCCTGTAATTGGAAAATATTTTTTGTGAGAGTTATAACCAAACAATTCTTTTATAAAAATGTTACTTATGTTTCAAGTATTTATGTTTCAACATTATTAAATTAATTTATAAAAATTGTAATACACAAAAGTATAAATAAAAATAAGTAGGTGTCGTCTTATTCAACATTCAAGTAATAAATAAAATTGTATACAATTTATTAAATAAACCGGTTTGTTTCTAAAAATAATAATTAATGGTTATTTTTATTATTGTAATAATTACAATAAAACAAAGATAAAATATAGAACATAAAAATTTTCTATAATATCGAAATACATTGATTCATAAACAATATTTTCAACTTTAAAGATAAATAAGTATAACTGATAATTATAACAAATTATTAATAAATAGTCTTTAAAAAGTACTCGGTCTACTATTTAAAAATATAAAAAATTTAATTTTAACTAAAATTTTATAGAAAAAAATATTTATAGAAAATTATGTATACGTATATATACACATAAAGCGATTGTTAATAAATAAAATATTTCGTATATAAAAATTAATAAAATTCTTTATAATATAATAACCAACAGCCACTTTTCCATTATTTCTAGCAACAATCTGAAATGAATAATTCATTAATTTATGCATCAGTATATCCAAAATTCGAGTCAAGAAACACAATGATTCGTTAAAGAAATTAGCACACGTATATATTTTTGTACTATATGTAATCAAATTATGGTTAAAACAATGATTTTTAAATAAAAACAATAATGTTCATAAAAAATTATCACTTACAACATATGTATATTATAAAGCATTACCTTAAAATAATGATTCAAGATGAAATAGAATTTTAGTAATGCTTATATATTGAAATGTAAATGTAGATTGTTTGATAGTGGCTTAGAATTAGACATTATAATATATGAAAGAAAAGGATAGTAATGATATAAAATTTACATAATATGTCTGCGAGTTCGAACTTGTTACTACCCGATGGGCATAAATAATACAAATGCGTGTGATATCTTTGTTAAAATATTCAGATGCCAATTTTTATACTTTCTAAATAGATCATTCTTAAAATCTGAAAGCACTATTTTATTTTATTCGTACTTTATTTAAAAAATTCAAAATTGTTTCTTCACAAAAATAAAGTTTAATATTAATATTATATTTAAATGTTTCTTTTAAATATGTATTATTTTATAAACTTTATAATACTATATAAATAAATTAACAAAAAAATATATTAATTTTACGATTCTTCATGTATTCTAAGACTGTACACTGCAGAATTCATAATTTGATTAAAAAACAATATAAAATTTTGACTTTATATATGTATTAAATTAAAGCACATTACCATATCATAAAATTAATAACTTAAAATTTATTTGTTTAAAATTGCTGTAGACATTTTAAAAACTTCTACTTATATAATGTAACGATCAGCCAATGATAGATAATTATTGATACAAATATAAGAATAAACACAGAATATAGTGAACATATATAGCCTATAAATTACCTATGCATGCTTACAGAAAACAAATTAATCACCTACATCACAACTACTACCGTAGTTATCGTTTCCTTTGCCATGAAAACTTAAAGAAATTATGATGAATTACATGCAATTTAAATATTAAATCAAACTTATAATCCTTTATCGATCGAAATATAATTTATGGATCCTACTAAATTAATTCGTTTGAAATTAATTTTCGATACCAAGAGTTGCCTACTTTAGATTATAAATAGTGTAAGAGCCTTCTACGTTGCTTCAACAATTGAAAAAATTTATGTATATAGTGAATTGTTTAATCACTACTTAGATTTTAGCCTAAACTAATGACCATTCATGATGCGTGGCGCGTGTACGTATACATATATGTATGAATTATGCTGCGTATCTGTATCTATGTATAAACAATTAAAAATTAATAAGACACCTATCTGGATGAAAAATATTTAAAAATGAAATACTGTAGTGCACAATTGCATTGGTCGATCATGATTAATATCTAATTCATATCGATAGTATTTATTCAAGAAGTATATAAAATTTGTTTTATACAAAATTTGGAAGTTGATTTTTAAAATCAACGTAAAATTCAAATGTTGTATATTTTCTACAGTCTTATAAAATTATTTAATAATTTTTCAACTATTAATCATTTTATTTAATTATAAAATAAAATAATTGCATTATTAATAAATAAAATTTTGTCGATATAAGTATATCATCAAACAAATTTCCTTCAATTATTAGTATTTAATTTAGTATTAAATATTTTATATACAGTATACTAAAATGCAATTTGTAATATTTTTTCGTAAAATTTTATTAACTATTAAAAATAAATTAATGTTATATATATATTAAAAAATAAATATGTTATAATACCGTTAAAAGTTGATACGTGTTAGAAAAACTGTTGTAAATCTAATTCTGCTAATACAGAAAACTAGTAGATTGCTTAACATATCCTTCGAAAATTGATGTTTTCTCATTTTACAACTTCATTATATTTATCTTCGGATAAATATAGTACGAAGAATTCTTTGCATACATCCGAACACATAGCAATAGAAGAACGTTTTAATACAATCCAATGATCCAATATATGAATCTTCTTAATCAGTATAATTCATTGCTATATACAATACATTCTTGAATATGCGAGTAAAGCAAATCGATTTGATATTAAAAGAATCATAACAAATTTAATTTAATCGAATAACTTTCAGGCTTATTGAATTTGGTTGGCTTTGAAATAAATATATATTCAACATTAATAATAAAAAAAATTGCAAGAACTAGTAAAATTGTTGAATACAGTGTAACATTAACTATGTTAACATATTCATTATAAATAATTTAATATTAAATAGACATAAAAACAAATCAAACTTAATACTTAAGATTTAATAAAAATACTTTCTTTTTTTAGAAAATTTAAATAAAAAATTAAACATATATCAAGATCAAACCAATATTAATTTTGAAAAATGAATCCATGTACTTACTGTACTTCTTTCATGAATGAAAAACAATCAAATAAGTTGCATTTTAAGTTGATTTGTGTTTTACCTGTATAATCTAAAAGTTCAAAAATTTTGATTATGTAAACAGTATTAAAAATTTATAGAACAAATATTTAAAGTATTTATGAATAATATAAGTATTTAAATTTTAAGTTATTTTAATCAATATAGATTATTGTAATTTATATTATCGAATTGAATTCTGATTAATTAAATATTACAATTTAACTAAATTAAAAATTATATTACTATTTAAATATTTAATAAGTTTGATTTTGTTAAATTTCCATTTAATATAGTTTAAATTTATAAATATTAATTAATTTAGATAAATCAAAAAAGTATTTATTAATTTCAAAATGATTCGCTAAGACACTTAGGGTTAAAAGATATTCTAACATTTATCTTACAATTAGCTTTAAAAATGTATTAATTCTAACATTTTGTTAAATACGAATCTTATAACAAAATATTCTGTAAAACAATGTATTGTATATCTAAATTATGATATATTATGTTATTCATATAAGTAACAGTTTGGCACAGTTATTTTTTTATATATTAAAATTTTTAATTAATTTGCACAAGAAGACGTTACAAACGGGAAAAAAATTTTTTAATTTAATAATTAAATAAAGTTAAATTAAATTAAGTTTTTTTACTAGTCCAATATTTAATCACTTTAATATTTACTAAGTATTAAGTAAATAAATTATTATTTAAAAAAAAATATTTGTCTACAATTCTTATTGTTTATTACAAATAAAAAGTAATGTAATCTATAAAATAAAATTATAATACTGATTTTGATCTATATTAATGAAATTTATAAATGATTACTATAAAATACTTGACAATTATATTATATATATTAACTTCGAAATCATTTATAGTACAAAGATAAAATATTACAAGATAATATAGTATAAAGATAAGTTAAAATTTTTTTTCTGGAAGTCTAGAATATTTTTAATTAATTTATTATTTACAGAAAATAAAAAATTTTTCTTAATCCATCTTAAATGAGTATAGTAAAAGTATATT